GCGGGGGTCCTGTGGGCGCCAGTGGGACCCAGAGGTAGGAGGCAAGCATCCTGTTGGTTAAGGTCAGCTGCTCAGGATCCCGGGATGTGCTCAACTCTATCTTGAACCAATCTTCAGAAAAAGACCCTTCAGGACTTTACCAAAAAATAGTTGTAGCCAGCTTATTGGGTCTTTTCCTATGGCCTAAGCACTTCCCAGATTGGGCTTCCCAACTGTGCAGGGCATTGGGCTGTGCTGCCCACTGCTTTTGAATAATAAGGAAAAGTAGAAGAAAACGATCAGAAGCTGCAGCTCCTCTTCTGAGCTCTGTCACCGCTGGGAATGCATCATGGTCACTCCTGTTCCTCAAATGGACAGTCACCCAATTACAAATAACCAACAGGGCCTGAGACTCTTCCTGTCTGCCTTTACAAATCAATGTCATTACTCCAGCAGGACAACTCTCCTTACTGCGTTTAAAAAACAAAAAAACAATCTATACATGCCTCCGCGTCCCGCACCCTGGGAGGTCCGCACGCGCTCCGGAGCGGCGGGTGCGCGCGTTCTCCAAGCCTTACGGTAAGCGCGGCGCGCAGAGCAACCACGTGGCGGCGGAACCGAGGCCGGGCGGGAATGTGCGGAATGCGCAGCGCGGCCCCGCGCTGCTCCAGAGCCAAGGCCCCGGTTCCCGCGGCGCGCGCCCTCGCCTCCCATCTCTCCTCAATCGGAGCCCCCCCCCCCCGATCGCCCGGGACTCGCAGGAGTAGGTCGAGCCCCGCGCAAGCACCGTGGCGGCGTCTGGGGACAGAGCGCGGCCCATCGGGCTCCTCGGACTCCGCACGCCCAGAACTCCCCAAAGGGTCCAATGCCGTGACCGCCGCCACCAGCCCCGACCGCACGAGGCCAGGGAACCCAAGAGTAGGGGTGTAGGGCGTTGGGTATGCAACCCCTCTCCCTGCACCTGGAAAAGAATTTCCTTTCCTTTTCCCCTCTTGGCAAGTGTCTGGAGCCCCAGAACTCGGAGGTTCCCCATAATAAAGACCTCGGCCATCCCTCCACCCACCCCCAACGCCAAAGCGAAGCGTGAAAACGCTTTCGCTCTCGGGCATTCCAAGGGCACAAAGAAACAGGCGCGAGGATGTGGTCACATCCCGAACACAGTCTCTGGGAAAGCGCAGGGATGGGCAGCGAGTGACCAATCCACCAGGCGAATGAGGGGGCGTCGAGCCCTTACCGGGAGGGGGGGCGGAGAACATTGCGGGAGCGACAGGTCTTAACACTGGTCCTCCTCCAAGAAGGTCCGGCTCCAGCGAGCCGGCCGGCTGGGTACCGAGCCCCTCCCCACCCCCCCGCGAGTCGCCGTAGGGGTGCTCCGCGCGCTCGCCAGGGGCGGGGTCTGCTCCGCCTCGGTAGGCCGCAGCCCAGCTTGGCCAAGGGAGAAGCGGATGGGACTTGGCCTCCCAGGTCATTACCCCCGCCCCCCGACCGATTTCTTTGCTTTGGTTGGAGGTGGTTACCTGCTCAGTCTGGGCGCCCACTCCGCGGCACTTGGCTAGAGACGGGCCAGGGGCCTGAGTCAAGAGGCCAAGGAATTCCTAGCGAATTTGGGGGTTTCATATTGCTCAGGGCACCAGGCGATGCTTTTTGAGGGACGAAGTTCAAGGAGTTAGATGCTTTCACTCCTAAGAGTGCACCTTCTCCCTAGGGAAACCGGAGGCGTTGTGAGCCGCCGCCCCCCCCGCCCCGCACCACCTGTTGGGGTTTGCTTTTTAACTCCGGGCACACCTTGCTCACGGCCTTCAGACCTGGGGGAGGAGTGTCCCGTCCCCGCATCCTGCCAGACCGACGACTGGGGCTCGGGGAGGGGGTTGGTCTGTGTGTGGCAAAAATTAATTGATCAGGGGCGGAAACAAGTCCGTGGCTTGGGACGGTGGGAGGTGCGGCTGCCCCTGTTCCCAGCGTGTGGCTGTCCCAGGTGGGTGCCGGATCCAGAGTTCGTCCCGGCGCTCCCCGCAGCTTTGGAGCGCCAAGAGTCCGCACCGTGTAGCCCTGGCGGAGCTGCTGCAGCGCGTGCACCTCTAGGAGCTTCGGAGGCGACCAGGGTGGGGGAAGGGGGGCCCCACTGCCCCGGTACCCCGCGGCCCGCATTCGGAAGCATTTTCCTGAGCGACTTAAGGGCTTAGTCCTTTCAAGTCGCCGCCAGGTATGCCGCTGCAGGTGACCCCACCTGGGTGCGCCCCCTTCGGTCCCGTGTAGGGTGGGCGGCTGCGGGAGGTCCATGCCAGGAGTAGATCTCCACCGGGCCCTACGCCCCCTCCCCAAAGCACCTCTCTGGGCGGCGCGCAGCCGCAGTGCGTGCAGGGGTCGGCGCTGCGGCGGGCCGGTTCCTGAATGAACGCGCTCCCTTCCCCCGCCTGAATGAAGGTTCCCACAGCCAGGGACGGTGGCAAACGCGCCTGCCGCGGAATTCGCCCTCTCGGGGCCGGAGATCCGCTCGGGCCCGCCGCAGTCTCCCCTGCGGGCGGGTGGGCGTCAAGGAAAGCGGGAAGGTGATTTAAGTTACTTTTGGATTTTTTTTCCGGCCAAGGTAGTGCCTTCCCGATCGGGTCGCTGGCCCTTTGTCTCCGAATAGTCACCGAGAAATAAGCGCAGAGCACTTTAAACGAGCCCAGAACTCGCAGTTCCTGCCTCGTGGTGGGTTTTTAAAAGAGAGTGCAAGATTAAAACTGCAACAGAAAAGTTGTTAAGAGTTGCTATTCTCTTTGGGGAAAAAAATTAAAATAAAAACGCGTCCTCGGCTCTCCTAGAAGCAGCCGCCCTGAAGGGCCCAGGGCTGGTGGACCCCTCTACAGCTCCAGGGACGCGTATCTGGGCGCCCCGGGGTGGGGGCTGGGCCACTCGCGCTCCCCGCCAGGCCCCAAATTCCTGCGCCTCCCCCGCGGGTTCCTGGACGGCTCTTCACGCTCGTCGGCCGGGCTTGCACTTTTGCGCCCGTCCCTGAGCGGGGAAATCAACGAAGTTCCTAGTTGAGATCTGCCCGGTCCGCCTAGTAACAGCGCCGCGCCCCCATTGGCTCATGCTAATTCCAGTTTCCTCCGTCTTTCTCCTGGGTTAGGGGGAAGCTCCCTCCTGGACCCGGAGCCCGTTTTGCCGTAGTGGGCGAGCCTCTTTATGACCCGCTGCCCCTCGCCGTCGCCGGCCTCCTCGGGCCGGGCCGGGGCGCCCGTGGGGCTCGGACCCCTCGCCCCGCGGGGCAGCAGCCGCCCGGTAATAGCGCGCGGCCCCATAAATCATCGGGGCAGCCGCCCGGTCGGGATTTTATGAATGAAAAAGCAGCCGGGCCGCCCTCGTGCGCGGGCTGCTGCTACTGCGAGGCACCGGCGTGCCCGGGGCCGACGCGAGCGTGGGTGCCCGGGGAGGGGGACACGGCGGTGGGCGCTCCCTGCTCGGGCCACCCACCGCTTCCGAGGCGTGAGCCGGGGGTAATTACCCTCCTGGACCCGGAATATTAGTAACCCTAATTCCCGGCGGGGGAGGGGAACGCGAAGATTCAGCCCTGAGAGGGGGGTGTCTTGTCTCGCTGCGTGCACCCTTGCGAAGGGGAGGGGGCTTTTTCATCCGTTTTCTTTGAGCCTTTAATGTTAGGGGATACGGCGGTTTGATGACACTAAACTGTATTCAGAGGGAAGTAAATGAACAGTTTTCTTAACCGGGGGCAAGTAGTGTGAAAACTTCTCAAAAAAACTTAAGATTTGGCAAAATGTCCTTTTATTTTTTTTAAAAAAAGGCACCAAAGAGACTAAATCTGAAAATTTTTAAAAACCCACTTTTCTATATTCTTTTGTATGGCTCTTAAGATAGCGATAACATTGCGTTCCCTCTCGTATAACCACTAATATATCTAGATTTTGTTTAAAAGCAGATCAATACACCCATTTCTTTAACTTAACAATTGTTCTAATTTCTGCCAGCCCCTGCCATCCCCCCCACAGGCTCACGAATGCAGCCCCGGGCTAATTGTAAAGGTGCAGAGATGTCCACACCCCCAAAAAACCAATTAGGAAGCTTCCGGTGGTCTTGTCACAAGCAAGAGAAGCGACTAATATTTCCAGCGATTTAATTTTTTTTTTTAATTAAAAAATAAGTCAGGACAGAGACCACTATTTTGTAGCCTTACATTCAGGGCGTTTTCCTAGTTCTTAAATTGCTGGGATGGGTGTGGGGGGTTGGGGGGGGATTGGGGATCCCTGAAAGGATGTATTGGCCAAGGTAGGAAGACAACCCGCAGATCCCCCAGGCGAGGAGGACAGGATGAAGGAAATGCTGGCCACCATCTTGGGCTGCTGCTGGAATTTTCGGGCATTTATTTTATTTATTTTATTTTTTGAGCGAGCACATGCTAGTCTGAAATCCCTTTATGGCTTAGGGATACCCCCTCGGGCATTTGCAACGACCCCCCTGACGCGGGAACGAAGCCTCCACCAGGGTCGCGGACTCTGCTTCGCGTCCCTGAGTGCTAAGTGGTTCCTGAAACTTACACGTGTTGATGAAAATGAAAGAAGATGTAGACGCTGAGGTCCCTTGGCCGCCTCTCCGCCCGTGGGTGCCCTCGTGGCGTTTTCGGAAATGCGCCCATTCTCCCGGCTCGGATATAGGGTGTCGCCGAGCCCCAGAGTCCCCCCCCCATGCGGTCACCCCCGGCTGCGTGTGGCCTGGCCGCCCCCCCCACCCCAGTTGTTCCCCCCTGCAGAGCCACCTCCACCCACCCCCCAAATCCCGGGGGACCCACTCGGGGAGGGCAGACACCCTGCACCCCTCTTTCCCGGCGGGGAGAAAGGCAGCCTCGGGCGATTTGCATTTCTATGAAAACCAGGCTTCGGGGACAACTCCGCCGCGGGGCAGGCGCGGCGCCTCCGGGATGGCTTTTGGGCTCTGCCCCTCTCCGCTCCCCGGCGCTCGCAGCCCGCGCCCCCTCCCCCTGCGCCCGCCAGCCCCCACCCCACCCCCCCCGCCCGCTCCCATTCTCTGCCCGGCTTTGATCTCTGCTTAACAACAGTAACGTCACACGGACTACAGGGGAGTTTTGTTGGAAGTTGCAAAGTCCTGGAGCCTCCAGAGGGCTGTCGGCGCAGTAGCAGCGAGCAGCAGCGTCCGCGCGCTCCGGCGAGGGGCAGACGAGCTCGAGGGAGCGCGGGGTAGCGGGAGCTAGAGCCGAGCGCGCACCGACCCGGGACCCGCCGCCGTCCCCAGGCCGCTCAGTAGAGCCCCAGCCATGGCACACCAACTCTTATGCTGCGAGGTGGAGACCATCCGCCGGGCGTACCCCGATGCCAACCTCCTCAACGACCGGGTGCTGCGGGCCATGCTCAAGGCGGAGGAGACCTGCGCACCCTCCGTGTCCTACTTCAAGTGTGTGCAGAAGGAGATCCTGCCGTCCATGCGGAAGATCGTGGCCACCTGGATGCTGGAGGTGCGGGGTTTCGGGCGGCTCTCTTAGGGCTTTTCCTGCAACTTGTTGCCCAAACCCACATTTCTTTGCCGCTCGTCTCCCTCCCTTCTCTCCCACCCCAACTTTGAAGTTTGCCGGGGTGTTGCTAGGAATCGCATTTTCAAAATATATAGATATTGTGGGTATTTTTTGAACGAAAAGGGGTGGGGGTGGGGTCGTTTGAAATTCCCTATCCTGGCGGGGGTAGTGGGGCGGGGAGCGGTCGGAGAGGGGACCCTTCGGGGAAAGCCAGTTGCCAGGGGCACCCCAGCTGGCTCGAGGGTGCGGGCCGGCGGCCTGGGCGCCCTTTGTGGCCCCCGCCTGCGCCCGAACCCCGCTGCGCCTTCTCTCCGGCTGCACTGCCGCGAGCCGCCTGCTCCAGGGGGAGGGGGCATAGATTTGATTTTTAAATTAATATCCATGGACACGTATGCAAGGGCCGCTCGTGCCAGTATTATGCGCCATCTTTGTTCTTTTATTGCAAAGCAAAAGTGTTTATTAATAATTGGGGGCAGGGTGGGGGCGGGGAGCGGCCGGCGAGGCGCTGGGGCCGCCGCGAGGGGCCGCGCGGCCGCCGGGAACCGGAGGGAGGGGCGCGGGGACGGAGCGCGGGCAGCTTGGGGGGGACCCCGCTCGGGAAGAGGGGCCCCTTTGTTCAAGCTGCAAGTCCCGGGGCGCCCCGCACGGCCAGCCTGGGCCGGAGAGCACGCCGAGCTGCAAGGTCGCGTGGCCCCCAAGACGCTGGGGATTGACCCTGGTTTGCAGGGGTCTCAGCTTGGGGGACCTTTCTGGAACGAGCCGGCGGCCCGGGGCACACTTTTAGGCCTTCAGCGGGCTCCCGGGGAGCCCGCAGATATTTTAAAATAATTTTTGAAAGTACGGCGTGGTGCCCTTGCGAGAGGGAAACGGCGCCCGCGCCCAGGGGGAAGGGGGGTGCCCCGAGTTTGAATTCCTGGGGCTCTCCCCGGAGCTTGCAACGAGCTCTCGACCCCCGGCCTGGGTAAAGGGCCGCCCGAGGGTCATTTTCAGGGGTTTTTTATGTACCCAGTTATTTTTTTTATATTTTTAAATATTTTTTGAAAAGATGACGTCTGGGGAAATGCGGCGCGGCGGCCTGGGACGCCACCTTTGTGTCTCGCAGGCGCTGTGAGCGCGGCGCCCAGCCCCGCGGCCCGCCCCGCGGCCCCGCACCCCATTTGGGGCGAGCCCCGGCCCAGCGGGCCCCGGAGCACCCCCGCGGGCCGGGGTCCCCGGGGCGGGCAGCCCGCGCGAGGCGCACGCTGCCAGCCGTGCCCACTCCTGCCCCCACCGTGCCAGCCTCCCGGGGACTTTCCCTTTCAGTTTCGGGGTGGGTGGGCATTGGGGACATGCGGGGGAGGGGGCGCGGCCGCGGGTGCTTCTGCCGCCCCCCACGCCCGACCCCGCCGCGCGCTCGGGACCCGCCGCCCGGGCGCGAGCAGGGGTGGGGGGCGCGGGGTCTCAGCGGAGGGGCCCGGCGGCGTCGGTCACGGTCCCCGTGCCCGGGCAGGTCTGCGAGGAGCAGAAGTGCGAGGAGGAGGTCTTCCCGCTGGCCATGAACTACCTGGACCGCTTCCTGTCGCTGGAGCCGGTGAAAAAGAGCCGCCTGCAGCTGCTGGGGGCCACCTGCATGTTCGTGGCCTCGAAGATGAAGGAGACCATCCCCCTGACGGCCGAGAAGCTGTGCATCTACACTGACAACTCCATCCGGCCTGATGAGCTGCTGGTAACCTGGGACCCCCACCGCCCACCGACGCCCTTTGAGCCCCAGGACCCCGGGGGTGGGGGAGGTGCAGAGGACGGGCGGCCCCCCGCAGGCCGCCGGCACACCCCACGCCCCGAGGACCGGCGGCCTACACCGGCGGGGCCCCTCTCGAGGAGCGGGCGGGACCCCCGCCGCCCCCCATCCCCAGCGCGCCCCACCACACACTGTCGCTCGGACTCCCACCCCGTCTGCGCCCCTAGCGCGGCCGAAAAGTGGGCGGCGCGCGCCCTCTAGCGACAGCTGCGGGGACAGCCCGCGCTGCTTACAAGGGTTTGCTTTTCAGGTGTGGGTCTTTTTTGTCCCCGCTTGGGAACCAACCAACCGTTGGCCTCTTCTACGGCATCCTCTTTTAGGACCTCTTTTGGGGTGGCATGCTGTCTTCCATTTCCTGGACCCCCAGTATGCCCTATCCCTTCTCTTCTGGGCCGTGTCCCTCCGAGTTGGGGGGGGGGCCGGAGCTGCCCCCCTGCACCTCACTTTATGCTGGTTCACCCCACTTCCACAGCAAATGGAGCTGTTCCTGGTGAACAAACTCAAGTGGAACCTGGCCGCGATGACCCCGCATGATTTCATCGAGCACTTCCTCTCTAAGATGCCCGTGGCAGAGGAGAACAGACAGATCATCCGCAAGCACGCACAGACCTTCGTCGCCCTCTGTGCCACAGGTAGGGCGGCTGGGTCCTGCTCGTCCCCCACCCCGGGCTCCATGGGTGCCCCTTGCCCCTGGTGGAGGAACATCTTGCCCTTTGCCTCGGTTTCCCCGTCTGAAGAGCTGGGCCCCAGGCCCCTCCTGCTCTCGGAGGTGCTCCTCTTCCCTTGGACTGAGTTCTGGGGCTGGCGGGGGGGGGGGTGTTGTCCCTTTCTGGGTCAGGCAGCTGAAGCTGGCCACAGCCACCATACAGTGCCTTGGGGATGGGGGTGGGTGGTCCGCCAGGCTGTGGCCACTCGCGCTGAAAGGGGTTTACCTTGGCTGCCCAGCCTGCCTTCCCCGCTCCGGTCCTTCTCCCCGCCCCCCCACCACCAGTCCGTCCCCATGTCCTCAAGGGGCCCCCTTCTGGCCTCTCCCGGGCTGGGCCACCTGCCAGGGGCGCCTACAGGGGTGGGGAGCGACGGCCCGCAGTGCCTGCACCACGTGCTCTGGGCGGCCGGCAGCAGCCCTTGTGCGGGGGCGGCCAGTAGAGGAGCTTGGCCGCCTGAGGCCCCGCCAAGGGGTGTCTCAGGCCGGCGCAGCTCAGCTGAGTCCTGGGAGGGGCTTCAGAGCAGCCTGGGGTTGGGCTGCTGCGGTTGGCAGCAGGGGGCCAGCCCTCCCTCCCCCTGGCAGGGCTCTGGATGGTCCCTAGAGGCCCCTCCCTGACACCGCCCTGGCCCCAGCCCCTGGGCAGCGAGCGTTTCAGCCCTCGTCGCAGACACCCACGTACACATGCCCTGTGCCGCCCCCCATTTCCCCCAGCCCTAACCCTGACACCCTGTGACCTCTTTGTCTCTCCCTCCGATCGCATGGGCAGGGCCCAGGAGATGTGGAGAACCCTGCCTGGGGACCCATGCCCCCATCCCAGCCAGCTCTGCAGTGGGTCACCTCTGCCCCTGGTCAGGCCTCAGGTGTCACGTGTGTTTGGGGCTCACCGTGGGCAACCGGAGGGCCACACAGCATCCAAGGGCGAAGTTGGCGTCTATCGCTCCCTTCCCACAAGCGGCAGAACCCCTAGTCTGGCATCTCCTGGCACCCTCCTGATGTCGGGGTGCTCCAATGGCTGCTATTTCTGGGTCAGGCGAGAGTCGGAAAGATTCTGCCGGCCCCCCCATCCTCCGCTTCCTGCTCAAGGCATGACCCTCTCCTCCGATCCCTTCCAAGTGAGAGGAGTAGGGGGACATGGTGGGCCTGGATGGATCTGAGGGGTGGCAGCTCTGGCCCCGGGGCAGGGAGCCTCCCACTGGCCATCCCCTCGGCCTCCAGGGGCCAGCCCGGCAAGCAGGCAGGGAGGCGTTCTCTGGCTGGGGCGCCTCGGAAGAGAGAGGCCTCTGGAGACTTCCAGGCAGCCTTTTATGGAGCTAAAAGTGGTTCAGAGAAACAGCAGAGTTTCCTGGAGATAATGCAAGGAACGGTTCTTGCACACCCTCCCCCCCCAGGATGGCGGGGGCGGCCGGGAGCTCCCCCTCCCCCAGAACCCCAGAGAAGCGGGGTGTGTAGCGGCGTGCAGTGCCTGGCAGTGCGGGGAGCAGGCCTGGCACAGAGGCCGTAAATGGGCTTCGGCGCTGACTTCCCAGCTGCCACGGGTCGGTGTGCGTGAGCGCCGGGCCTCTGTCTGAGACTGGGCCCGGCAAGCACCCCCCGTCTGCAGGCTGCAGCCTGCGCCCAAAGGCCTGGGCCTCCCTGGAGGGAAGGTGGGGGGATGGCTGGCGGGGCCCCACACAGAACAGGAGGAGGAGAGGGTCACCCGCACCCCCAGGGCCCTCAGAAAGATTCTCCGGGTCCTGATCCTCGCCTGCACGGTTCAAACATACCTAAAACTCAGCGTGCCCTTGGTCACAAGGGGGCCTCTCACTTTTGAGTGACGTGATGGCAGCTCAGAAACAGGTTGGCAGAGACGGTCGTGAGGTGGAGGCATGAGCAAAAACCCCGGAAGATATTTTTGTCCTCCACGGAGCAAGGGTCCCGCTTGATGGCGCTGGGGCGGGGGGAGTTCAAACTGGGTCTCCCACACAAGTGCACACATCCCCCATACCAGGGTTGGGTTTTGCTCTTCTGTGAATGTATACGTACATCCGTGTACACTGGAGCTTTTCAGGATGCTGCAGTGGGTTAGGTAAGCAAATGACCAGGGCTGGTGGGAAGCTGACCAATCATCGAAGCTAGTGAGTAGGTCTTAGCAAGGGTCAGCGATGCCCCCAGTGTTTCCTCTGGCCGCGGCCCCAGGCTCTCGGCACTAGGCAGAGTGGAAGCAAGTGTTGGAGCTTTGGGGATGCAGTGGGGTTTCTCCTCATCTACACGTGTAAGCCTGCACCGCGCACACGCACATACACGCGCACACTCATCTACACGTGTAAGCCCTGCACACACGTGCACGCACGCACACCCTTCGTGGGGAGGCGGGCTTCGGAAGCGAGCCTGCTGCCACTACACCATCCCTCTCAGTCTCAAGGTCCAGCCAAACTGTTGTTGGGACGGCAGCAATTTCTGTCTGCAACCCTGATGTGTCTTAACGAAAAGCTTGTCATTCGTGGCTCCCGGCTCATAGACTGGGTGGCACTGCTCTTTCATTTAAAGAGGGAAAGAGGTGGCTGCCTCTTGAGGGATTTCTCGTTCACGGCGCCTGGCAGTGGGCTCTTTCATTCCTCCAGGGTGGCTGCCCTTCTCTCCAGCCCCCTGCCTGGCCACGCTCCTTCGGCCAGGCCTGCGGTCTGCTCCCCGGACGTAGCCTCAGCTGTGCTACTGGGGAGGCACCCCCGGGCCCACGAGGCCCCTCCCGCTCAGCTCACCCAGCCTGGTCGTGGCACTCCATGCACGCAAGACGGGACAGGACGAAAGGGCTGATCAAGGTGCCACATCAGTGCCCCCCCCCGCCATCGAGATGCAGAAATCAGCGACCTCCCCGACCAAGAATTCCTCACTGGGTACCACAGAATGGCAGCCCATAGGCCCCATGTGGCCACTTACACATCCTTCCCGCTTCCCCACCTTTTCATGACAAGTGTGGGAGGTGCTGGGGCTCAGCCTAGGAACAAAGGCAGGAGTCCCCCCCCCATCTGAGCTCCGCCTCAGGGCAGAGGGGAGGGCGTGCTGGTGACTGGCAGGTGAGGTAGTGAGGAAACGCTACCCTCGCTGGCCCCAGGAGGAGGATAGGGTGGGGATTAGCATCCCCTGCCACCACGGGGAGTGCTGTCCCGTGCGCACTCCTGGAGGGCCGCCCTGGGGGACAGCGAGACCCTTGCACCCCTCCCAGAGTGCAGACCTGATGGGCTGCCCCCAGTCCCTGGGGCCCGGCAGCACGTCTTGTCCCTTGTAGTCTGTCACCTTTTTAAGTTTTTGTGAATAAGCAACACGCTCCCAAGGCTCAAGTACAGCAATGTCCCTCGTCCCTTCCCCAGAGGCCTTTGTGGTTTGTTTCTGCCAATGGCGGTTTCCCCAGTTTGCTTTTTTTGTTCTCAAGTAAACGTCACAAGCTACAGTCAGGTGAATCCCAGGCCTGGCTTCTGCTGTCCGCTGCTGGGTGGTGCCGGGAGCCGCAGCACCTCCTCACCGGCCCACAGAATCCACAGCCCGGGCCAGCCGTCGCGGGGACGCGCCCTGATGTGGAGCTGGTGCTTGGGATTGCCGGGATCGCAGGTCCTGTGGAGGGTCCCCAGCTCACGGGCCCCTTGCCTCTCTCCCTCTCTGCCTCAGACGTGAAGTTCATTTCCAACCCGCCCTCCATGGTGGCAGCTGGGAGTGTGGTGGCCGCCGTGCAAGGCCTGCACCTGGGGAGTTCCAGCAGCTTCCTGTCCTACCACCGCCTCACTCGGTTCCTCTCCAAAGTGATTAAGTGTGACGCGGTAAGTGATTGAGTGCACTGCCCCCGCGCTAGCTTGGCTTCTATCCTTCTCTTCTGCTAGAAACTTCTAGTACCTGGGGGCCCAAAGCCGCAAATTCACTGATGGGAAATGCCGTGGCTCGTGCCAAGGCCCCCAGAGATGATGGGGGGGACCATGCGTGGGACAGGCCAGGTGCCGTGTTCAGAGGCATGGGACTGGGGCCCAGGCTCATAGGGTGCGAGCCTCACCCCACTCTCCCGGGGCTCCTTTGGAAGGAGAAGCATCTCCCAGAACTTGTGGGTGGGCCAGGAGGGTCCTCAGGCTTCTGGCGCCCCCAGGGCTCCCAGGAGCAGGCGGGAGCCATACAGCCCTCCCGGGGAGCCGTCCAGGAAGAGGGGCCACAAGGCAGACCCGTCAATGATCCATGCCCTAATGGCATGTGGAGTTGGGGCCCAGTTGGGCTTTGTCTGGGCCACAATGCGGATGGCTCGTAAATGGGGGCTTGAAAAGGCTTCTGTGAGGTCTGCAGACACAACAATGGCCCATGGAGACAACCTCGTGTTTTACGGCCCCTTTGAGAGGCTGCGGCCTTCGGGGCCCCGAGCTGGGGCCGGTTGTGTCTTCCTTCTTCAAAACGCCATTGTTGGATTCCCGATTCCTTTCTTGTCTTAGAGGAAGAATGGAAATCACAGTTATGCGGGTTTGTGGCCTTTGCCAGATTAGACCAGCGAGGTGGGCGGGTCAGCCCTCGGCCTCCGCTGGTGTGCCGAGTGGGAGCGAGTGACCGCCCTGACCCCGGTCCAGCTCGGGCTCGGGCTCGGGCTCGGGCTGCCTTCTGGTGGTCCGCCCTCGAGGGCCCCGGAGGCCCTGTAGGTCCTAGCAGCTGCTGCCTCACGGCACCGTGGACGAAAGGAAAGCCGGGCTGTGGGCGGAAGCCTGCCCGCCCCCTGCCCGCCCCCTGCCCAGCGCTGCCGGCTGCCTGGAGGGGACCACATTCTTGCTTCTCTCCCTGCTGGGAGCAGGCTGTCCCTGGAGCGGGGGGGGGGGGGGGGGGGCGCTCCCCTCTCAGTTTCCGTGCTTACTGGGCCTCCTGGAGGGATGGGGTGTCCTGGCCGGCGTTCACCCTGTGGCTCACCCTCGGCAAGGGAGACACACCACGGTCTGGGCACAGAGCTGCAGATCGGAACCAAGATCGCAGCTGAGGGGCGGGGAAATCAGCTGAGACTGAGATTCGCTAGTCCGGTTACCCGGCGACCAGCGCAGCAGAGCCCAGACACAGAAAAGCCTGGGCCCTGGAGCCCTACGTGTCCTCGGGCCGCGAGCTGCGTCCGCCCTTCCCCAGAGCTGCCCGGTCGCTGTCGTGGCTCTTCCCGGGCTAAGGCTGCAGGTCTCAGTGGCCATGCGTCCGGGGGGAGTCCCTTCCTACACCCCTCCGCCACACAGCCCCCCATCCCGAGTCCCCAGGGACAAGAACACCATCGCCCCCTAAGAGCTGCCTGCCGAGAGCCACTGCAGGTGGGCAGGTGGGCGGGCGCCGCCGGGCCTCGGGGGTGGGACTGGGGGGCTGTGCTGGGGGTGGGGGAAGCTATCAGGAGTCCTTCGTTCCACACCAGGCCTTCTGGGCCTCAGTTTCCTCATCTGTAAAACTGGCTAACGGAAGGGGTGGGGTAGGAAGGCCCTCCGTGTGAAAACGTAGAGCTCTGCAAACATGGCCGAGCCCCAGGGACTCGGAAGCCTTGCTGGCCTGGATACACTCCTTTTAGGCAGTGAACACCCGTTTCCAGCCCCACCTGGTTGGGAGCTCAGCGGCACCTTCCCCAGGTGCGTCCATGGTTGCCTGTTCCTATGGGAAAGGCGCAGGTCTGTTTTCCAAGCTGGCCTGGAGACTCTACCTCGTTCTAGAATAGAAGCCCAGTGTGGCATCCCAGGAGTTAGGACGGGCCACCTGACACCGGCACCTCCGAGCTGCCGGGAGCTTTGCTCCCGTGAGACCAGGAGAGGCCCCTGGACTCCCAAGATTCCTCTTGGGCATTGAGACCTCGGGGAGGGCGCCGGGCCAGGCCAGTGCGTTCTCCCAGGGTGCAGGCCAATCGGGCAAGGACGGAGGGGGACAAAGGGTCCGGCCCCCCCGCCCCAGGCCACCCAACGTTCATTATCAGTCATGCACAGCCTAACGCTTTTGACGGCCATTCATCACGGAAGGCTGGGTTCACCGCGAGGGCTGACATGGCAGAGGTTAAGTCCGAAAAGCAGGGCTCAGGGCGCCTCTCTGGCCTGGATCAAATGGCACCGAATCCGCTGAGGGCAGCAGCGGGGCTGGTGGGAACAGCGAGCCGGGATCAGAAGCTGGCAGAGGAATTCTAGCGGGGGCTCGGGCCCCGGGGGCCTCAGGGCAGGCCAGGGAGACACCGGGCGGGAGGCCGAGGGTGTCCTGGTGCACGGAAGATGGCCTGCGTGGGGCCTTTAGTCCTAAGTAGGTGTGTGTGCTTCTCCGGCGGTGGGGGGGGTTGGGGGGGGAGTAGGTGGCCAAGCGGGGGGCCCATGCTGGTCGGTCCTGGGGTTTGGGCAGTGGCTCCACGTTGTCCTTCACCCGATTTGGGGGAAGCAGTGCTTTAGATGAGCCTCGCTTTCCCTAAAATGGACCAAGTGCTGGTGTTTGGGGGAGGGCCCAGCCGGTAGGCTCCATCTGAGGACCGCTGTCTCCCCTCCGGCCAGGACTGTCTCCGGGCGTGCCAGGAGCAGATCGAAGCCCTGCTGGAGTCCAGCCTGCGCCAGGCCCAGCAGCAGAGCCTGGACCCCAAGGCGGCGGAGGAGGAGGAGGAGGAGGAGGAGGCCGACCTGGCCTGCACGCCCACCGATGTGCGAGACGTGAACATTTGAGGGCGCGCGCGTGCGCGGGAGGGGCCGGCCCCAGGTGCTCCCCTGACAGGACCGTGTTCCTTGCCAGGACCGGTCACCACCAGAAGGGAAAGCTTTCCTTCTCCTTTACTGTCGGTTTGTTTCCTTTGCTCTTTCCTCCCTCCCGTCTCTGACTTAAGCAAAAGAAGAAAAACTGTCTTTAAAAAAAAAAAAAAAAAAAAAAAAGGAGAGAAAAAAGAAATAGTATTTGCATAACCCTGAGCTGGGGGGTGGGGGGAGGTTTGCTACAAAAATAGAGGATCTTATACCCCATAATCAACTAGATTTTATATGGATGTGTTTGTGTCTCTGTGTTGTTAAGGATAGGCATTAACACAAGGAACGAGTCTGCAGGGGAGGATTAGATTTGATTACGTGTTTAAAACAAAACGGAAAAAAAAAAGCATAAAGACATTTTAAAAACTAGAAAAAAGCCAACCAACCATTTTTGGAGTAGAAGAGGATTTTAGGTAGCAAACGCGCTCGTGTGCCGTCCCCGAGGAGCACGGCTTTTAAGGCGGTCCTAGGTACCCTGCATCTCGCTTGCTCGTGCATGTAGTCACTTTATCAGTCCTTTGCGCGTGTTTTATTTTATTCCGTAGGTAGGCGTGTAACCTCTTCCCCTGTCCGTGGCTGATGTAACCTCAGTTAGCGCAGCGTAGAGCTCAGCGTGGTCGCGTGCTGGCCCTCTGTCCGCCTGCGGCCCGACCCGGAGCGGGCGGCCAGGGCCCCGGCTGGTGGCACAGCGGACACGGAAAACCAGCTCCGACTCCCGGCCCGCGCTGCTGGTAAAGAGAACCCGCCATAGCGACGTAATATATTCTATTTTTATAATCTTCCTATTTTTGTAGTTGCCTGTTGATGAGATGCTGGTTTTTCACCCCCACAGACCTGCAGCCTGCTCACATCCAGGTGAAATCCACAGCTCCTTTTTTTTTTTTTTTTTTTTTTTTTTTCCTTCTCAATATTCTAGAACCATTCCATTTCAAAGCACTTTCAATCCAGTGGTTATAGGGAATCTCTCTTGTTTCTGTTGTGTGTGGAGGGTGGGTGGGGGGGGCAGTTTCTTAATGGAATGGTTTGGGAATATTCACGTCCTTGTGTGCAGACAGGATGGCGAGGCAAGTGCATGTCACTTAAGGAGTTAGAGGAAGGGGATGTTCTTGAAGGCGAGCTTCCGGTCAAGAAGTGCATTCTTACATTGCCAGGATGATGCATTCCTTTCTCTGTAGAGCAGTGGAAGTTCGGGAGTCCTTGGTGCCAACTGGTGTTTGAAAGCGTAGGGGGCCTTTAAAGGTTGACCTAGAGAACGCGTAGTTAAGGGTTAGGAAGGTTTTTAAACACTAAAATATATAATTTATAGTTAAGGCTAAAAAGAATATTTATTGCAGAGGATTGCAGAGGATGTTCGTAAGGCCAGTATGATTTATAAAGTAATGCAATCTCCCCTTGATGTACACCCACCCACACCCACCCACACACCCACACACATACACACACACACACACACACACACACACTTTTTTGCCTTTGATGTTGCAGGTTTCATACAGTTTGTCAAAGTTAGGTCCTTCTTCATAGGAGAGAGAAAAAGATCCTGAGGAACAACACAGAGAGCATGGATTTGGCTGATTCAGCCCGTCTTGGTGGTTTTCCAAATGGGAACCCCATCTGAGAGGCCTCGGAGTTCCACAGAAAGTTAGGGTACCCAAAAACAAGTTCAGCTCCAACATATTCTTGTCCCCTGTCCCCTCCTTTTGAAAAAAATTTTAGCAACCAATAGACAATTTGCACATCTTGGCTATGTACCTTTTTGTAACGACTATGTAGGGAGAGTCGAAGGCGGCGAGAGCACAGGGCTGGTGCTTGGCGGGGACGCAGGGGGACGTGTGGGCATGCGGAGGGCCGACGGCGGGACCAAGCGGCGGGCAGGCTGCGGCTCAGTTTCCCGATTCGCTGCTACCGATGACTTCCCAGCACAGTTTGGAAACCGATTCACATTGCTTTTCTGTATCTCTTTCACATTGTTTTGCTGCTATTGGAAGATCAGTTTTTTTGTTTTTGTTTTACAATGTCATATACTGCCATGTTCTAGTTTTAATTTTCTCATAGAAAAATGTATTAAGGATGCCTTTTTTTTGTAGATTTTTTTTTTTTATGTGATCAATTTTGACTTAATGTGATTTACTGCTCTATTCCAAAAAGGTTCCTGTTTCACGATACCTCATGCTTCTCTTAGCCATGTGTAGACCAGGCGGTCAGGCTCCTTCTGACCCGCGCGGCCTCCTGCTCTCGAGGACACGCGGACCAGGATCGCGAAACGGGCCTGGTGGGGTGGGCTCCGGGCCGCGAGCAAGCACGCAGCCTGGCATCCCTGGGGCCGCGACCGCTTCCTTCTCCCTGCGCCTGTAACCCTGGGCTGTCCACCCGACTGGGACGTGCCACCGTCCTAGTTTTTACAGCCGTATTGTTCTTTACGTGTAGCTATGAAAGTTGCATTATTATATTATTATTATTGTAACAAGTGTGTCGTCACGTGCCACCACGGTGCTGTGCTGCAGGACTCAGTCACTCGGGATGAGCGGAATCACTTCTGGACTTGGTGAAAGTTCCGGGTGCTGCATCTGTCATTATGTACTAGTGTTCTGTTTGTTCTCCTCATTGCAGCATAATGCTAATTTAAAAAAGACTCCAGATCTCAGTGAAGCCAGCTAACAGTGCTGTGTGCCCGAGTTGCCTAGCACGCTGCCGAACCAAAAGGATTTGCACCACGGGCGGCCCCTGCCCCCAGCTGGGTCAGCCTGGGTGCTCCCTGGCCATTGGCAGGCCCTGGCCCCGCCCCGCCCCGCCCCTGCAGGAACACTGCTTCTGCTTACCTCATCCGTTCTGGCTGCGGCATCTCTGTCTGAACCAAACGGGGTCCTTGAGGGACGGTCTGTCCTCGTGGGGGGGTGGGGGGGTGAACATTGCGTGTGCTCAAAGGCCAAAGGCCGGTGGCAGGTCTGGGGAGCACAGCGGAGTCTGTCCTGTGACCAGCAAGTCTGTGAGGGTCTCTGGTGGGTGGGCGCTTTTGGTCTGTGTGTGTTTTGGTTGCACACTGTGGCACAGACATGTAACCGGCACATTTCCAGCAGAAAACAAAAGACAAACGTGAAAAGTCTAGAAATAAAATTGGTAAAACCCCAGTAGGGTGCCTGCCTGTTTCCTGGGGCGCGGGGCAGAGGAACAGGGCCCGAGCTGCTGGGTCCTGGGCTGGGGGGATGGCAGGCAGCCGGGGGTGCCCGCTTTGGCACTGCCGATGTTTGGGGCCAGATCCTCCTCTGTCGCGGGGAGCTGTCCTGTGCGCTGTGAGGCATTGAGCCACACCCCTGGCCTCCACCCACCAGATGACGGGACTGTCTCTGGTGGTTTCACTGTCACTGAAAATGACTCCTGACATTGCCAGAGGTCCCCTGGGATACAGAGGGAGTATGTGATGCTCTTGGCTTCGAGGAAATGGGGGAAGGGCTGGGAAGAGGTCAGGACGCCTTGCAGAGGCGGCTCCCACCACCTGAGCGGCAAGATCAGGATGGGCTCCCAGCCCATGTCTCCCCAGCAGCACCCCCCCAGGCTATTTGCAGATAGGAAAATAAACAAGCCAGCTTTCCCTAACCCTCTGGCGCAAACTTGCTGTTTGCTCTTGGTGAATCACGGTCCCGGTCCCCGAGGCACCCCCAGCTTGGGGAGGACAGCAGAGCGCATGTTTGGGCTTCAGTCCGGTGGCCTTTCACACGGACCCAGTGACCTGGGAGACCTAGTGGACACCTGTGACGTCCGCCTCGGCTTCAGATGCACGTGGCCGGCCTCGTTTCCAGCCCAAGGTGGGGAGTGGACAGGGAAGGCAGCAGCAGGCCTCAGGACCTGCTCCATGGGGCCTGGGCCTCTTCCCAGAGTCTGGGGTCCCCAGTGTGTCTTCGCCGCCCCCGGGCTGTCGGGTGGTGAGTGCTCAGAAGGGAAGCCAGGTCACATGCCAAGGATATCACTCCTTGTCAGGTCAGTTCGCTGGGGCCTTTATGAAGCTCCTGCTGTATACAGCCCTGCTCCACAGGGTGCCCCTCCTCCCAGCGGGAAACCTCCAGATGGGCTACGCACTGAAGTGCCTGGGAGCAGGGTGGGTGCGCTAGGACTGGGATTGCTGCTTCCCCCACAGCAGCCCCGCACCGGGCGGGTAACCGAAAGGGCCTCTGACACAGCAGACCCAGGGGCGGTCAGAGCCGGGGGAGGCACCCAGCCCCAGGGGCAGGCCAGGGGTATCCTGAGGGGCGGCTTCAGGGAAGCAGAGGTAACAATCTCACTGCATCAGGTTCAAGCAGAAATCGGGGCGGGCAAGTGGGGGAGCCAGGCCTGCAGAACTGGTCTGCGAGTTCAGTGGGAAGGCAGAGAGGCATGGGGGGTGGGCAGCGAGCCGGAGCCCCCGTGCAGTGCAGAGGGCAGTGGGGAGGAGGGCTCTGGAGTCCCCCATACCCTGCCTCGGGTCTTTCTGGAAGATCCCAGGAAAGGACTCTGTAGGCCTGACCTGGCAAAGCACCCACCCTGTCCCATGGTGGGAGGTCTGGCTGCCCCAAGCATCTGTGAGAGAAAATAAACGGCCTTTGAAGGACTTCTGGGATGAAGTCACCCCCGGCTGCCCCTCTCCCAAGCCCAAAAGCCTGTCCTCGCTGGGCCCCACTGCCTCACCTGGGGCCTGCCCTACCTCCCAACCACCTGTGCCCAAACGCTCAGGGGCTTCTAGCTCCTTCCAGCTCCATCCATGGTCCTGAGACCTGAGCCAGCTCTCCCCTTCACCCCTGTCCACCCCCCACCCATCTTCCCCCCCACCTCTCCCCTCACCTCACCTCTCCCTTTCACCCCCATCTCTCCCCCCTCGCTCATGTTCCCCTAGCCTCAGGCTCTCCAGCCCCGAGTCTGCACCCATGGGACTACAGGCACACCAAACTACTTCCTGCCTCCAGTTCTGTGCCTGAAGTGCCCCCCCCTCCCCTCGGGGGCACCTGCAGGCGTTCCTACCCCTGGCCCTGGCAGGTGGCTCTGGGACGTCCAGGAATCATGACAGCTGGGTGTTCCCCACTCTGGGCTACGAACCCTGGAGGACAGGTGCCTTGCTGTTCCTTCTCTGCGGCCCTATTCCCAGCCTGACAAATGGTAGGTGCTCAGAAGTGGGAACGGGACCAGAATGGAAAGGGCAGCATGCCGGGGCCCACCAGCCAGGCCCAGCTTGCTTTGTGAGCTGTAGAGGGGCAGCCCTGCCTGACCCAGGGTGCGGTGGGCAGATCCCCGTGTCATGAGGACACGGCGCTGAGCTGGAAGGTGAGTCAGATCTGCAGAGGTGGGCACTGCCGGGCTCCTAGGGGCCACGGCCACAGCCACCATGTCAGGTTCCCAGAACTCATCTGAGCCTGTGGCCCCCGGAGCCTCCTGGAAGCCTCACTGCCTGCACACCTTGGCTCTGCGTTTGGTGGGGGAGAGTCACACCACAGACCACTCCCAACGGCGGGCACCGCAGCATGGGCTCGAGAGGGACACATGTGCCTGGCGGACTGACGGCGTGGGGTGTGCGCCCCGCGCGCTGGACAGGCCTCTGCAGCACACAGGGCTCTGTCATCCCAGGAATGCCTTTGATCAGGAGTTTATGCAGAGGGGGCCGCAGCCCAGGACTTCTAATCCGTTCCCACAGCCCCCTGGCCCGCTGGCCCCCAGCCCTGAGCCACACTGAGGCCCGGGGCAGACAATAGCCAGCGGACGGTGGGCGGGCAGCTCCGGCCTGGGCCTTGGGGCCCACATCCGGGGCATTGTCACGGCCACTCACAGGGGCATGCAAGGAGGGTGGGGGAGAGGAATACAGAGCCCTCCTGAGGGCGCTTCAGTCAGCCTTGAGCCTCTCAGAGAAGGCTGGGGCCACCAATCCTCCTCCTTTTCGGTATGGGCAGCGGAGACAAGCAGCTGTCTCCACATGGCCTCCCTCTGAGCTGAGCGCCCCAGTCCCCAGCCCCTGGAGCTCTGGCCCTCGTCCAGCTCAGGAGAGTCACAGCCCCTGCTCACCGAGCAAACAGTGGACCAGGCATTGGGCTCAGGGCTCAACACACAGTCTCCCCCTAAATCCTGAAACCACCTGGTGAGTGGGCCCTGTGCTCTCAGGGCTGCAATCTCCGCTTTCTAGGCCAAGGGCGGGCAGATTCTACAGAAAAGGGTCAGAGCAAGGGGCCGAGGATCTGCTGGCCACAGGCTCTCATCCTGCTCAACTGCGCCCTGGGGCAAAAGCAGCCCCGGACAACGGTAAACGAATGAGCACGGCCGCGAGCCAGTCGGGCCTCGTGTGCGCAAATGGGCAGTGGGCCGCACAGGGGCTGAGGGTGGCGGTTTCAGCCTCCTGTGGTGGATGAGGAAACCAGGGCCCAGACGGGGGACAGTAACTGGGCCAGGATCACACAGCCAGGAAACTGCCAGGGCCGGGCCCAGGGCCAGATTTGTGTCTAGAGCCTGTCCTCCTATCCGTCGGCGTGGCTGCTTGTCCTTCTGCCCCTCACCGCCCCCCCCCCGCCCCCCCGGCTCGTGCTCTGTCTTGTCTTTCAAATAAATAAATAAAATCTTTAAAAAACGTTATTTTAATTCAATAAATAAATAAGTAAAATGCACAAAGCCTCCATGTGGCTCTTTTCACCCAAAGGCCAGTGCATGCACTTGGGGCCCAGCTTTGCCAGGAGGCCCAGCGGGGCGAGGTCAGGTCCACCAGCGTCCAAGGCTTCAAGTCAGCAGTCCCCGAAGTCAGGCCAGTGTCTTGGTCGGTGGGCCTGGAGAAGGACAGCCAGGCCCGCTGGCAGCGGGGGGTGTGAGGTGACCGTCACGTAGAAAGAAAGCTCACACACATACGTGCATGCAGTACACATACGTGTTTTGGAGGAAAAGACCCAGGGGTTGGACCTCGGCCCCGCCACCTTCCGGCTGTGTGTCTCTACCTCTCTGCACCTTGATTTTCTCATCTGAAAAATGGGGATAATTGTGTCTACAAGAATGGAGCCTCAGAGGAGGGCAGGGCATTGTCTGCATCTCGCTTGGACTCTCTGACCTGACCCAGCCCAGAACAGGGGCTCAGTAACCGCAGTTCAGTGAGCGCTTTCGGGGGTGAGGGCTACACGGCCCAAGTGTGTGCGTTACTTAGCACGGCGCCCGACACAGTCACCACTCACCAAAGGCCAGCATCACCCCATGCGTCATCCAGGTGTGGAAAGAGAGGCCCCGAAACCCAGCGGCTCTCCGGGTGGCAGGGCCAAGGCCATACTTCCTTCCCTCTTTGGGCTCACGAAGCAGAGAGTTCTTGTTCTTAGTGCCGGCCCCAATCCCCTGCCTGGTGCTGACCGTTCTGCTCTGTGGCTTGGGTGGGAATGATCCCATCCCCAGCTCCAGGACAGGCGCTGACGGGCTCAAACCCAACAGCACATCCGCCCCCCAGGGGTGGGAGGGTTGAAGGGTGGCAGGCTCAAGGGTGAATGTGAAATCTAACAGAGCCAACGAGACAGGGAGAGACATTTTCTGAGGCTTCTGAAGAAGACAGCCTTCCCCTCTCCTCCTCAGGACTCCAGGGACCAGTGTGGCTCTTCCACCACCCTGGCGGGGCTGCTGTAGGCCACGGGGTGGACTCTGAGCTTGAGGCCAGTCCTGAAGCAGAGCAGAAAGGTACCAGCTCTCTGGACAAGCTGCTGGATCAAGCCTCTCCTGAAGGGAGATCCCCCCTTTTGTTCCAGGAGACAATTACTGTCCTTCTGTTTAAGTCCATTGATATGGGCTTCCTGTCGTTTGGTGCTCAAAGATTCTTAACTATAACAATGTATATGTGTCTTCTACCTTTTCCAGATTTAACGATATAATCCCCAATATAAATGATGGGGCTGAGTTCTGGAGGCTGGAAGTCTGAAATCAAGTTGTGGGCAGGGCCACGCTCTCCCAGCCTCCAGTGGCTGCTGGTTAGCACCCCTTCTGGCTTGTAGCTGCAACACTCCCATCTCAGCCCTGCCTGCGCTTCCGCCTTTGCACGGCATCCCCTCCCTGTATGTGTCTCCTCTGCTGACGAGGACAGTCACGCTCTCCCACGCAAGTACGACCCATCTTAACTTACGCCTAAATCACATCGGCAAAGACCCTACTTCTGAATGAGATCGCATTCACAGGTACCAGGGGCTAGGTCTGCAACATGGCTTTTTTGCGGGGCGGGGGGAACAATTCAACCTGAAACAGGTGAATTTGAGCTCTCAAGCTCGGGGGGGGTTCAGTGAGCACCCCGCCATTCCAGGGGCCCTCCCCCACAGGGAACAGCAGGTGCTCAGTAAATCCTTGTATAAAAGATGGAACCAACCCACCGATAAGGCTTCAGTGAGCGAGCATTTCCACGGTGCTTGCGCTCCCCAGCACATCACTCTCGAGCAGCGGAAATGGGGTCATGCTTGGGTACCACCCAAGACAGAACCTCTAGCCCCGCCACCCAAGGCCCAGCTGATCTAGCAGGGCCCTAGAGAAACGTGGCCAAAGCGCTGTCTCCACAGGGCCCCCGAGGGACAGACCAGCAAGGACCTTGATGCCAAGGAAGGACGATTTTAATCAGAAAGGAGTTAGAAGTCCCCGAAGAGTTAGGAGTGACCTTCCTTCTCGGACAAGGAATCTGCAAAGCCCCAGCTGGGCCACTTAGTCACATGGACTTGGACAAGCCATCCAGCCTTCCGTGGCAGGGCCCTCAACTATAGGACTCCGATCCTGTAAGAATTGGACACTGCGCCCACTTGTCTCTGGTCAACCATCCCCGCTTGGTGACTTCAGTTTCCCGAGTCAAAGACCAGCTCCCCACTTCATTCATTCAGGACTGGAATTACTGTAGGAATTAGGAGGACCTCACAGGGTAATTACAGTTTTCGATCTCTCCAAATTACACTGCTGTTCTCAGATAGGATGGGAAACGGTCTGTGGGGTTGAGGTCACATGAGCGCTCACAAAGCAGCAGGGTGAAGGGTACCTCCTCTAGGAAGCCCTCCCTGCCCACCTTCCCCTTCCCTCATTCTGAACACACCACTTACAGGCTCCCCAAGTGCCTCCAAATCCTTTTCTCACCCTGGGTGGAGAAAAAGCATGGTGAATATGAAATAAAAAGTAAACCGTGGCCCTCTCCTAGGACAGTTTGGCCTGTACACAGACTGCCCTTGGTCCCGATGACTCACATTCCAGAATTCGATGAAGCAGCTCCACGTGAAATGTTTTCTCCTCTCCTAAGTCCTAGGTCAACATTCTTTCCCAGTAGCCGCTCAGGGTGGCTGCTACGGGCTGTGTCCCCAAAATTCCAATGTTGAAATCCTGACCCCCAGCACCTCATAACATCACCGTATGTGGAGATAGGGGTCTTTAAAGAGGTAATCAGGGTAACATGAGGTCACCGGGGTGGGCCCTGATCCAGTGTGACTGGGGTCCTCACAGGACACACACACAGAGGGAGAACCCCGTGAGGACACAGGGAGAGCATGGCCGTCCACACATAAGGAGAGAGGCCTCAGGAGGACCCTGCCCTGACCGCACCTGGACCTCATGCTTTGGCCTCCAGCACCAGGAGACAGTACTTGTCTGTTGAGTGAGCCTCGTCTGTGGTGTCTGTTATGGTGGCCTGAGTGGACTAACAGTGGCACAGAATATGCTGGGAGTTTCCAACAGGGAGAGCAGGCCAAAGCTTTGGGAAATCAATGTTTTTGTTCCATCATAAAGGAACAAAACCCACTCCAGAGAGCTCCAAGGAAGCTCTCCCCTGGAACGGGAGCCGAGACTGTGGGGGACAGAGAGGGAGTCTGGGCAGGAGGGATCAGTTACAACTGCTGACAGGGGGCTGAGCCAGGGTCCTTGAGGAGGAATGAACCCCTCCTCTAACGTTCATCACGGGGCACCATTCTCTCGCAGGAACCGTGTCTACAACACGTTTTAATGAGACGCGTGGACAGAAACGCAACAGGAAGCAGCAGTCTGGCCCACTCAATGCGCGCCTGCCCTCGGACCTGGATCCCAGGTACCCTGGAGTAAGGAATGAATTTGCTGGATATCACATTATAAATGCTCCCACAGACAGCCTTTTGCTTTAAAACTGGCTATTTATTTTTCTCTCCACTTGTAAAAGTAACATATTACCACAACAGAGAACTTAGAAAACAACAATCCGCCAAGGAAAACCACCACAGTCGCCCCCTCCCCACCCCCTGACCCATCCCACCAGCGAGAGAGGCCCGCTGCTGGCCTTGGTGGCCGTGGGCTCAGGCCGCGGGCAGGCGCTCTCTGCGGCCATGAGCACACCAGCTCCCGGGAGCTCCGGCAGCCAAGGCCAGGGCCGCACTCGGGGACGCACACGCCAGTGGCGGCGTGGCAGGGTCAAGCCCCGATCTCTCCCTCAGCACACTGGCCAGGGGAAGCGGACGAGAGGGAAGCAAGCACCCAGGCCCGCTCCTGCGGGGCCCCCAGCCCTGAGTCTCCCAGCGGGCTCTAAAGACCACCCGGCGGGCTCTCAGGACCACTGGCTTGGGCAGCACAGCAACAGCCGCTCAGACGACCCAGGATGATGTTACAAACTGGAACAGATTCCCGGTTACCCCTTTATTCAACTCACGCATGACTTTCAGGCACACTGCCTCGGACGGGAGCAGGCGGGACCTGCCAGTGATGCTGGGGGCGCCCCCCTGGAGGGTGCACACAGGGACAGGCAGAGAGATGCTCAAGAACCACTGATGGAACCTCCTACACCCCCCAGTACCTCCCCGTGGATACAGATGCCTGTGAAGTACGGGCAGAAGACAAGAGAAGTCGTGTTACAGGAGATGCACAGTGTCATCAACACAAGGCTCCCAAACTCTGCAGAGATAGCAGCAGCCCAACATTTTGTCTTTAGCCTAAAGTATTTCCCGCCTTAACCATTTTAATGCTGCAAAGCCCCACCCCCATCTGGAAACACCGCAAAGTATATGTCCAGGCTCCCTCTGAAATCCCTCTCAGCCAGGTGCTGTGTCACCTGGCTACAGCTGACTCCCCATGGCTCCACGGAGCACAGTGGGGACCCGTGCACCCTGGGCCTGAGAGCAGCGACCCACTCCATGGCCATGACCGCACGTTCCAGGACAGGCAGCACAAGATGGCGGTGACAGGCAGGCGCAGGATCGGAGTCCGAGCTCTGCTGCTGATGCCCTTGGACTGGGCAGTCCCTGCGGGCCTCGGTTTCCTCATCTGTAAAGTGGGAACACTGAAGGGATTACACAGAACAGGGAAGCCCAGCGCCCAGCACCTGCACATCCTCGGGGTCAGTGAATGTCAGTCCTGGCACACCGCCCCCCAACTCACGTCACATCAACCCTGGTGCTCTCAGTTCCTAAAAAACTGCTCTTCTGAGTGCCAAGTCCAGGCTCGGGGGGTAATCCTAGCCAGAGCCACCCCCGGTCTAGAACCGGCCAGGCCTGCCCAGCTGGAGGGGACCACAGGCCAACAACCCTGGACCGGGAGCGAGCGGCCCCACGAGGGCTCTGGCAGGGACTCACTCAGACTGCAGAGCAGACAGGGCCCAACAAAGGCTGAGCCTGTGTGGAGGGGCCACAGGGGGCACCCAGGCGACACAGGCAGCCCCCAGGGAGAAGGAAGCCCTTTCACCGGCCAAACTGGAACCCTCCCCACAGAACAATGAATACTCCATCATTGTTTTGCCTTGAATCACATTTTTAAACACTTAACATACGGACATCTGTTCCTTGATGTTTCATCTTTGTTCATCTGTCATCCTCAAAATGAAAGTCCAGAACCTTCCGCACTAATTTTAAAGTCCGGCTGAACATTTAGTAATGAACAAAGCTGAAAACACAGAAGAAAAAAAATGTATTTTTTTTAAATCTTATATATTTCTACTCACAAATTAGAACAAAACTTTCTCTCTACCTGCAGCTCTTCGTGTCTACACAGCCCCTAAAGTTCTAACGACTGTTCATTCTCCAGACCAACTTCAGTTTTCTCACACAGAAACACAAAAACGATCTGCTTCTGTGGACCACGCAAAGGGCACGAGCAGCCCTGAGACTGCGAGCGACGTGAGCGCCCGGGACTGCGCGCAGCTGGCTCGGAGAAAGGCACGCCTACCAGAAAGGGACATGCAGCAGACACACCTGTTTAAATTTCCCTCTAATTTTGTCTAAGTCCTCGTGAAGTTTAGCGTAAGTAGGGTCATCGTAAGGGAACTTCTCAATCATTCCAATCAACGATTCTAAGGCCTTCATCTTTTTGCTGTAAAGCACAGAAATAAAAACTTTTAGTCCTTTGCACACAGTGGGCTCTGCTTGTATAACGACGACGCTGATCGCTTACTTGAAAGCAGTGGGCGTGCTAAGCATGCCTGAGTCCAGAAGCCGGAGGAGTCCTTCTCTCACTACACTCGGTACTCACTGACCTAGCACCGTGCCCTCGCCCACACCCCGCACTCAACACCAAGTGCGTCTCAAGCTTATGGATGTACCTGTATCCCAGCCCAGGAGCAAGCGACCGAGGCAACCCGCCACAACCTCCCCTGGGTCACAGACGTGGGAACAGACAAAACCAGGCAAGAAAAGAGCGCTGGGACACGATCTAGCCTGCTGTAGGCCTGGGATTTTCCGGGACCCAGAAATGTCACGCTCACAGCCTTGGGGAGTTCAGCGGCAGGTGGACCAGCAAGCCCCTCCCTCCAAAGGGCAGGAATCAGTGTCTGGTATCTGGGTCCAGTTCCCTCTCCCAGGAAGGCAAAGCTCTGCTGGGAGGTGAGGTGGCTCCCAGGCCCTCAGGTATTTAACTTCTCTGTAACATGCACACTTAACAGCCACCTCACGGTTTTCAAGAGAAGTAACCTCCGTAAAGCCCAAAACCTAGCACAGGGTAGGTGTTCAGTAAGCATGAAGCCTCCTGGCTTCCATGGGACCCTGGATACCGGGGCTCACACGTGGGGGTGGGGGAGACCATTCCCAGATGTGCATATCCTGACAAGCACCCTCCCCTAGACCACACTGGGTCATCTGAGAGTCAGAAGGATGCTAGGTATTTCATTAATGGGAATTCAACAGAACTCTTCCCCAGGATGAATCAAAAGCAACCAACATCTCCTAAATACCTGCTCATAATTGCTATTTTTAGGTACACGAGGAAGTCTGCCGATGGCAAGTCGGTTTATGAGAACAAGATGGCTACCTCTCTAATACAAACTGTAAAAGGTCAAAAGAAGTAAATTAAAGCAATGAAGCACTCGGTTTCCAGGGCGATGGAAGGCAGATGCCGACATGTGGGAAACGGCTGTATTCCAGCGTGATAAGAATACCACCCACTTTTAACTAGGCAAGTAGCAACTTATTCTTCTCTGGTCAGTGAAGCTACTCGAAACACACCCGGCCCGTCACACTGTCAAAGTCGGTGCCTGTCAGGAGGGTGTGCCCGCTCCTGGCTGATCCAGCAACACGGCAGAGCTCGAGCTCAGCCCTGGCCAAACACTGGCCTGCATACGGCTCCACCAGGCTGCTGGGCGGGGGGAACCTCCGAGTCCATCAAGAAGCCACGGTCATCTGATATAAAGCACCATCCTTCAGTCTGAGATACTGCGTTCCGTGGTTTCTCTGGCGTTAAAAGTCACTTATTTTACTGAATGATAACACAGATAGGGGTTTTTCCTTACTTGGAAGGTAAAGAAGCAGAAGATCCTCTATCAGCCTTCTACCATTATTTAAAAGCTGTACTAACATAAGAATGCAAAAAACCATGACCCACAGCCCTAAGAGACAGGCTTCTAGGTTGAGTTTCAAGGAGACCCTCGAGCTGCGCTGGTGGGGAGGGGGCAGCAGCGAGGCGCGCTGGACGGCTTCTGCCAGCCCCCAGCCGACCGGCGCGGGTCCTCCTCTAGCTGAGACAGAGTGCGCAGCTTTAAGAAATTAGGGGGCCCCTGCTCGGGGGCCGGGGTGGCAGCCCCTGGGTGTGCGACCCTCCGCGCAGGGTATGGCGCTCCTCCAGGAGCCGGCACGTGTCGGAGTCGCGGAGAAGGGGAGGCTGAGGGAGAGCTCCAAGGACGGCCTTACTTGTCCTCTGGTGGACCGGAGCGCGGAGCGGAGAGCCAAGCTCAGCTTTGACTGCCACCCAGTGGTGCCCCAAGTTGCCAAGCGCCATCCCAACCACTCTCGCAGTCCTCAGAGGACCATCCCCAGCCCGGGTGCGCCTCGGCTCCCTTGTACATCTGGTCCACTGTCAGTGACTCATGCCGCCGGAGCGGCCCAGGGACTCGATCGGGGTAGGGCAGGCCATCTCAGCATCACCCACAGTCAGCTGTGAGCACCCTTGTCCTCACATTCGAATACAGAGGCGCCCAAATTCTAGAAATTCAAAATATTTCAAGTAAGACGAGTCACTCAGACAGGGGACTGCCACCTTCCCTGCTGTCATCCACTCTCCCTGGGCCCCTCCCAGACCAGGCGAAGGCAGCAGACATCAGAAAGAGGCAGGGCACCAGCCGAAGCAGACTCTGGGCTCCCGGGAGCAGCAGGACGGCCAGGCCACCTGTGCCTTTCACCTCAGGGTTCGTTCCCAGGTTAAGAATGAAGACAGATGTGCAACAGGGTCCCGGGGGCTTCAGCGGGTAGCACATGGCGAGAACAGTTTAAAAAGATTACAAATGATCCAAAAAATAGCTAGCATTTACTCAGTGCCTCCAAGAACCAAACACCTGTTAAACACACCACCTTATCTCACTAGCACACCTCGTTGGCTGCACTAAAAACCTAGTGACAACAGAGTCACCATTTCCGACCCTAGTCATACCAAGGCTACCGTACTGCGTTTATTAGAAGCTCCGAGGAAAGATGAACAAGAAGAAAGAATCCACTTCAACATTATTTTACTGGCAGGAGATCTAAAATCCACTTGGCGCTTTGATGCTTGCAGGGAAAAGGCAGAGGGCTCCAAGAAGGCTTGACAAGTAATAATGAGAGTTCACCAGACACTGCAAAGGAGCTCTGCACTAGTTACGATTTCCTGTGGATATGTGACAACATTCAAGTTTGGTCTATTTTCTCCAGGTGACAGATGAGCAAACTGAGGCACGAACTGCCCCAAGTCAGAGTAAGCTATGGAACCACACTCCTGCTCCACACAATGAAAAAGAAAGAAGTCTTAAACTTTACCTGTCTTTCTCAGTGGTACAACTGTGCAGGAGACATCTCCAAGCAAAAGCAAAGCCTTGATAGCACCCAATCTGTGAATTCACAAAACAGTTAAGCGTGAAATTAATAAGCAACAAGCTCCACTGTATCTAATTATCAAGCTCTCCAAACTAAAGGTGGGGAGGAAGGGCAGTGGTGCTTCTCACGCTGCGGTTCTGGAAGCACCTGCTGGGCATGAGACCACGGAAGTGAGGTGGCCGAGCCTTCAGTGGGGCGAGAGCCTCCCAGAAGGTGCCGCCAGCCCCACCCCTGGGTCTGCATGTCCTGTGTGGTCCCCTCTAACTGCAGCGGGGTGGCCCCGTGCATGGCTTCTGAATTTAGGCGTAGCAGACGTCACTCCTGCCTTGTTGTCTTGCATCACTGGCCCAAGTGTCATGAGGCCACTCCAGCAGCGCTATGGAGAGGTCCACGCGGCAAGACAGCTGTGTGAGTGAGCCATCTCAAAAGTGGCTCTCCCAGCCCCAGGCGAGCCTTCCCATGGCTGCAGGCCGGACTCCAGCACCGTGCGGCCCGGAGCCAGAACCACCCAGCCCAGCGTCTGTTGTCGGAGGCCCACACAGTTTGTGGTGACCTGCTCTGCACCAGCAGACATCTACTGCAGTCCTGACTGCCCACAGGCTGTCAGTCAGAGCGGGCCCTCCGCAGCGAGGCCAGTCCTCCGTAGCGAGGGCCCAGCGAGGGCAAAGGCCAGAAGAGAAGACGACTATGGATTTCAGATGACTTCAATGGGAAGGGGTGACACAGGGTAAGGATTCAGGTGGCGGAAGCACCATGATACGCTGGCGTAAACTGAGGTGGCCGAGGACCGGCTTTCTCATTCCCCAGACCGTACCACTTCATTGGTGGTACGCAGGCACACCTCAGAGAGATGCAGGTTTGGTTCCGGACCACCGCAACAGTGAACTGCTTGGTTTCCCAGCAGGTAGGAAAAGTTATGTTTACACCACACCGTACTCTACCACGAGTGCAACAGCAATACGTCTACAAAATAATGTATGTACCTTCAGTAAAAAATACTTTATTGCTAAAAAACACTAACCCTCGTCGGACTCTCAGTGAGTCATAATCACTGATTACTGATCACTGAAGCGAATATAAAAATGAAAAGGTTTGAAATGCAAGAATTACCGAAGTGTGACACAGACACAAGCAGTGAGCAAACACTGCTGGAAAAATGGTGCTGACAGGCCTGCCTGGCACGGGGGTGCAGAGACCTTCCATGTGTAAAAACCACAGTATCTGTGGAGCACAGAGACGAGGTGTGCTGGTACGGCAACACGTGCTGGTCTTCTGGATGAAGACTGTTGCTCCATCAACATTCTCTAGTCCACCGCCATCTAAATAGGCCTCAAATTCTGGCTCTACCATACTGATCATCACAGTAAACTATAAACTATGAGTGAAAAGGATTCATTTCTAAAAATAAGGGGGGGGGTCCCACTTACCTCAGATCCAATTTTGGCTCCATGTAACGTGCCATACTGTCTTCCTTCAATTATACCCAAACTGTTGCCTTCTTCATAGCCTTCCTGATATCCTTCCCCATGAAACCTGTGATGGAAAAGCAAGCTTGATCAAAGAAACAGGAGAAGAGAGTGTATTTCCTGGAAGAAAATTTTTCCAGGAATTTTCTCTCCCATATTACCCAGACTCAGCAAGACAAGACACAGTATAGTAGAAACAGTATCGAATTTAAGGCATAGGCCACGATCCCAGCTCTACCCCTCAGTCTCTGCCAGCAAGTCCCCACACCTCATGAAGCCCAATCTGCCTCTGGCCAAATTCGTGAATCCCAAACCTGGTAAGATACCAGAAATACAGAGGAAAGTTTTAAAGATACAAATCCAAGGGCCTCGCCCCCTGATACTACTCAGTGAGTCTAGAGGAAGGCCCAGAAATCTACTTTTTGGAAACCTCCTAGGTGACTCTAGTATGCAGCCAGGTTAGCGAGCCACAGTTCTGTGAGTCTAACCTACACGACTACATCAAGTGCTTCAAAACTCTCTGCCACATACACAGGGCTTTCCGTCACAACTCAGTACACTAGAAGGGAGAAATGTCATCAGATCACAAAATATATGAAGGCAGCGGAGCCCAGCATATAGGAACGGCTGGGATTTGAGGGCTCAACAGTGGAAGTGGGACCATCTTAACCTGCAATCACCAAAAATAGAAGTTTGCTGGAGTCCCCAGTGAGGCAGTGTATGCTCCCACTTATTGGCTATGTGACCCTGGGGAGTGATCTTGCCTCCTCATCCGTAAAACACGGTGAATAATAGGATCTAATTCACAAAAAGGGCTAAAATAGTTAACGGGGATACAACACTGAGCTCACTGTTGGGTTCACACAAAGCTCTAAATAAATGTCAGCGACTGATGGTTAAACGTTCGCTCTCTTTCAGGACTGATGTCTACTGATGTCTCAAGTGGGCCGGGCACTGGAAGATGGCCACAAAGCAACTCGTGGGTCCCCACTGTCACAGCCCTGGGCACTCCCCAGGGGCTCCGGAGGGAGAAGGATGACGTCTGACACATTTATCAGCACGTCCATGAATGCTACCGTATGTCCCACCACTAAGGAACAAGGAAAAGGGGCAGCGCCCAGATGGCAAAGGTCCGTCCCACCCAAGTACCGGGCGTCCCCAGAGGAAGGCAGTCAGCAGGCCGAGCAGATGCTCGGGGCCGCCCGGACCGGGAGGCGGGTCTGGGCGAGCAGCTGGGCACGTGGCGCGCCGCCGAGAAGTAAAGCAGCGGCCACAGCACCTCGGCCCCACACGCGTCCGCGGCCGTCGCTGCCCCAGGGCGCCCCCCATGCGCCCCCCTCAGCCGCGCCCGCGGCTCACCAGGCCCGCGCTGCCTCCGCAGCCGAGGGAAGACGCTGGCCCGGCCCCGCCACCCACCTCTCGTCCGCCATCACGATGGCGTCGAACATGTCTTGACTCCCGGCCATGGCGACTCCCCGCCCGACCCGGGTCGCCGGGCCCTTCGGGCTCCCCAGCCCCGCGCAGCCGCCGCCACCCGCAAGGCTCGAGCACTCACTCACCGCTTCTGCGGAGGTGAAGCCACTTCCGGGAGCGGCGGCGCGGGGCAGGCCGGGTAAGGACGGCGCGCGCGAGGGCCCAGCCGGCGCTGCGGGGGCCCGGACGCATGCGCGCCGGGGGGGCGGGGCCGGCGAAGTCGAGACTTAACCTTTGCCAAAAAAAAGGCTTAAAAGTCTACGTGGGACCTTCAGGTGAGCGTGCAGGTGCAGTTTTTCCACAAGAAAAGCCTGGAGGAAATCTTGAAAGGAAAACCAATGTATTTTACTACGTGAAAAATGCAAACTCGCGCATGCCCAAAGTGGTGATAACATTAAAGCCAAGGAGCAGTCTGGAGGTGTGCTTGTCCTAAATATTACAACTAAGGGAATAATGTGTCTGGTTTATAAAGAACTTACCAAAAAGGATAAGCAATGAGTGCATCCTAACAGGGACGAAGAGATGGGCCAGAGGCTTGAGTGCGGGATTCACCGGTCGGGCAGGCAGCGTGGAGAAGGGGGTGTCTGTGCCCGTGACCTTGGAACTTAACCTCCAGGACTTACTCTGATGTTCGCTGCAGCACGGTCAGCACATGCACCCCGAGGACTCCAGCAGCCGCCAAAAATCATGTTTGAGGCGAAAGTAAGATCATGGAAAATGCTCCTGATGTTCAAGGAAAAAAAGTCTATGTATCCTCCAAGCCCAACTACACTAAACAATTACGCTTGTAAAAAGAATGAAAATACACCAAAATGTCCACAGTGACTAGACCTAGATTTTGGAATTACATTAATTTTTTAAATGTCCTCTTTTATATTTTTTTCTGAGTAGTAGTAGTCCATGTTTGCACAGTGAACTTTAGTTACTCTTAGGAGCATAAAAAAGCCCCATAAAACTTTTTTTTTTTTTTAGAAGATGAAATTAAATAGACTTTGTATATTTTGTTCATTAAATATCTTTTCGTCTTTAGGTGTTTTTTTTTTTTCATCAGCAGATAAAATCACAAAACTTTTGGGATGTAGGAAAAAGCAAAACAAGCAAACAAATCTGCTTTCCCACCACTCTGGCCACCAACTAATTTTTTTAAAGATCAGGTATATTTCTTTAAAAAATAAATGTATTTATTAGAGTGTGTGTGCGAGAGAGCACATGAGTGCAGGGGTGGCGCAGAGGGAGAGGGAGAGAGAACCCCAAACCCACTTAGTGCTCAGCGCAGAGCAGATGAGGGGCTCCATCCCAGGACCCCAAGACCATGACATGAGCTGAAACGAAGAAGAGCCCAATGCTTAACCAACTGCACCACCCAGGCGCCCTGCCACCAATTAATTTTTGCTAATTTTGTTACATTTTTCCCTTTGAATTTTCACATAAAAATAATATGTACAAGGTTATACCCTTATCCCCACCTATTAATGGATTAATGAAAGTTAACATTGTATTACAAAAATGTCCCAAATAAGGGAAAGTTTCTCTCATTATTACATATATAAAATAGATTTTTTAGACACAAACCTCATCCGCTGAAAGAAAATGAAACAAGCTACATCTTTTGGCATGGGAAAACAGTATGTGGTGGAGAAACAGACCAGTATAGGATAAAACCCATGGAGATAAAGACATATACAGGGGTGCCTGGATGGCTCAGTCGGTTAAGTGTCTGCCTTCAGCTCAGGTCATGATCCCTGGGTCCTGGGATGAGCCCTGCATCATCCTCTGGCTCCCTGCTCAGCGGGGAGCCTGCTCCTCCCTCCCACTTGTGCTCTCACTCTCTCAAATAAATAAATAAAATCTTTAAAAAAAAAATAAAAATAAAGTATATAGGAGAGTACGAGTTTTAATTTCAAACTTTCAATAATTGTGCAAAGTTTTGAAAGATTATATGTGTAACAAAAATCAACACTATTCATTTAAACTATTGTTTTGAAAATAAAGCTTTGGAGAGATCTCCCCCCCCCCATGTGTTCCATGGTTATGTTCCTAAAATACTGTCTTGAACCCAGATTGTTGTTTTTTTTTTTTTTAAGATTTTATTTATTTATTTGACAGAGAGACACAGCGAGAGCAGGAACACAAGCAGGAGGAGTGGGAGAGGGAGAAGCAGGCTTCCCGCTGAGCAGGGAGCCCGATGTGGGACTCGATCCCAGGACCCTGGGATCATGACCTGAGCCGAAGGCAGACGCTTAATGACTGAGCCACCCAGGCGCCCAAGATTGTTTTAACATTAAAGGGTAAAAGATTGGTTGTGTTACCTTGGATTTGTAATACTTGTTCACAAATTGCTTCATTTTCAAATAGGGAATCAGACTTTAAAAAGAGAGCCTCCAGGGTAGAAAAAGGGAATTTGAACATACAAATATAATTTATTTCAAAATCCTTAAATAAGTTTCAAATTCAGCGTCCTTTTTAGCAACTGAATTCATTAAAAAGTAGGTAGAAAAACTCTGAATTAGCATTTCTCCTTGTTATCTTAGTTTTTTGAGGAAACATTCTGATATTTGCTTATGTAGAGATCTTAGGAACTGAAATTTCTGCATTTAATTGAATGGAATAAGAAATGATCAATTTGGGGGCACCTGGGTGGCTCAGTTGTTAAGCATCTGCCTTCAGCTCAGTCATGATCCAGGGTCCTGGGATGGAGCCCCACGGCGGGCTCTGCTCAGCGGGAAGCCTGCTTCTCTGTCTCCCACTCCCCCTGCTTGTGTTCCCTCTCTTTCTGTCAAAATAAATAAATAAATAAAATCTTTTTAAAAAATGATAAATTTGTATAGGTACAATGAAAACAAAAGGTTTTCAAAGGTATAGAGCTTCCATATTTAGGATCTCTGAAAGCTGCCTTGATTGTATTTATTCTAATGACTTCAATACATTATTATTAAATACTTAATTTATAACAAAAGGTATAAAGGGGATGATATAATCAACTCCTAGGAATCTACCATATCAAATAGAATACACTTCAAAAAATTATAATGTTTCACATATTCTTGTTCAAGTTCAAAGAGAACCAAATCGATATCACTAAAGTGAAAAACGAAATTCCTCAAAGTTCATTGGAAAGTATTCATTTACTAGAATTGATCTTTTTTTACATTCTACATGTATCTGCCACAAAATACTCGGCAACGTGCAAAACTAACCAAACCAAACCTGAACATGTAGATCTATACTGCTAACCCGGAATCACAACCGTTTTATTAGCGAGTTAAAAACAAAATGTGTCGGGGCACCTGGGTGGCTCAGTCATCAAGCATCTGCCTTCAGCTCAGGTCATGATCCCGGGGTCCTGGAATCAAGGCCTGCATCGGGCTCCCTGCTCAGTGGGAAGCCTGCTTCTCCCTCTCCCGCTCCCCCTGCTTGTGTTCCCTCTCTCGCTGTTTCTCTCTCTGTCAAATAAATAAATAAAATCTTTTTTAAAAAAAAGTGTCATTTGTTCCCATGGTGGTTAAAGAAGAAAACTGCGGGTCTCTCAACCAGGTTTGATATATGTTTAAAAATAATCTGCAAGGGTAGGAGCCCTAACCTGTTGGAGATTAATTCTGTCCTTAGCTACGGAGCTGGAGTGCTCATTTCTGGCTAATGGACTGATGAGATTATAAGTAATCTTTCTCTTCTCCCGTAGGTGTTTCTGTGTTTGATTTTTCTTTTAGTCATGGAGCAAAAGTGCCTTTCGTAATCAGAAGAGAAAAAAAGTGATTTCAAATTCTTTTTTTTTTAAGATTTTATTTGTTTATTTGAGAGAGAGAGAGAGTGACAGAGATAGCAAGAGAGAGAGCTCAAGCCGGGAGGAGAGGGAGAAGCAGACTCCCCTGCTGAGCAGGAAGCCCGATGCGGGGCTCCATCAGGACCCTGGGATTGTGACCTGAGCCGAAGGCAGACACTTAACCAATTGAGCCACCCAGGCGCCCTGCAAATGGCAAGATTTCATTCTTTCTGAAGGCTGAGTAATATTCCATTGTGTATATATACCACCTCTTCTTTATCCATTCATCAAGCAATGGACACTTGGGCTGCTTCCATAATTTGGCTATTGTAGATAATGCTGCTTTAAACATCGGGGTGCATGTATCCCTTTGAATTGGTGTTTTTGTATTTTGGGGGTAAACACCCAGTAGTGTGATTACTAGATAACAAAGTAGCTGTATTTGTAACTTTTTGAGGAGGAAACTCCATCCTGTTGTCCACAGTGGCTGGACCAGTGTGCCTTCCCAGGAGGGCCATTTTCTACCTGCCTGCTCAGGAATCTCTTGCAGCCAAACGGTAGGAGACCTGCGGTGGGACTGAGGGTCTGGTGCTGTGACCGGTGACCAAGAGGCTTCTTGGAGCACTCACACCCACAGAAGGGCCCCAGCCAGCAGGGGTCAGCCTCCACCTCTGGGACAAGCTCTGAGATTTGGGCCAGAGCCTGTGACCCCAGTGCCCCCAAGCTCCTAATCACTCCATGGTCTTGACTGCCCTGGGACCCACAGGGACCTAACCAGTGCTTCCAAATGCAAGAAGGAGAAAAGGTGAGTCTGGGCAAGTAGGCCCCACCAGAGTTCTGTAATGCTCGGTTGGTCTCAGGGGAGTCATATGCTTATGGAGAAGCAGAGACTATTTGGGGGAAAGTAGCAGAAAGATCTGCTCTCGGCCCTTACACTGAGAGAGAACCAACTTCTCCCATGCACCTTGCTTAGGCTTGGCTATGCCGCAGTCCCAAACACACACCTTGACGTCTTCGTGGTTTCTGCCAGGAAGGGCTCATTCCCGCTTACACAGACTCCGGTATGGGCTGGGCGGAGGTGTCTCCAAAACTGTGATTTTCAAAGTAAATACAGTTCTAAAAGAACATATGAATGTTTGAATATTAGCAGATGCCAAACTTGCGAAGCTTCCTTTGCAAATGGCCTGTGACAGAGTGGATGCTCTGTAGATGGTGTTAAGTGAGTAAGTGAAAGAACTCAGCCGGCAGGTGGCTGGGAAGGCCCCCCGGGGCCAGGGGAGGGAGGAGGGGCCAGAGGCCAGCAGGGCTGTTTGCCTGGCATGTTTGACCAC